TTTCTTCCCATTTGATATTTTTAAAAATTTTGTGTAAATAAGAGTTTTTCACAGATATATTTTAGGATTCACAATTCACTGTCGAAAAAAATAATAATGTGTGTTTCTTTGATATATATAAAAACTGTATTTGTCTCTATGAGGGCATTTATGCAAGAAATGCAAATGTACATTGGCATTATTTTATTAGTTTCTGCTGAGGACAGTGAGGAATAAGCATATTCATAAATGTCCAGGAGAGATAGAAATGTCATCCAGCTTTTTTTTTTTCCAACATGTAGATTTGTAGCAAGGAAGAGGCTGGAGGCAGAGATGTCTTATATGAGGGTAATGTGTGGTAAGAATGTTATGCAGAGAATTTGGAGCATGGGAGATTAAAAGGTGTGGGGTTTCCAAATGTATAATTCAGAGGGCTGAGAAGGGGTTGTTGAGGTAGTATGGGCATTCAGAAAGGGTGGAGGAAAATAGGATGACTAGAAGGGTATATAAATCTGGAATGGAGAGGAGGAATAGGGAGTTGTCCCAGGAGTTGGAGGAAGGGGGTAAAGGAGGTTCTGAATGAGAGGGACTTGTTATAAAAATATGTAGACTTGGTGTGATTTGTTCACTCATGGTAATATCTTTAAAGAGTTCTGAGAGTTTAACTACTTTCAGAGCCTGGCCATGGGCCAGGCTCATCTGGTGCTTGCCTGATCAACCAGGCTGTTGCTGCTGGAGGCCCGCTACCCCACATATCCCTCACAGCCTGGTTGATCGGGCACCTGGTGAAGATACTTGTCCAGTTTCCTCTTGAAGGCTTCTACACTTGTTCCAGCCGTGTTTCTGATATCTTCTGGTAAGATGTTGAATAGTCTGGGACCCCGGATGTTGATACAATGTTCCCTTATTGTCCCCACTGCACCCCTGCTCCTCACTAGGTTTATTTTACACTTCCTCCCATATCTCTCACTCCAGTATGTTGTTATGGCAGTGTGCAGATTTGGGACCAGGCCCTCAAGGGCTTTCCAGTTACAGTGGACCCTTGGTTATTGGCCGTAATCCATTCCAGAAGGTTGGCCGAAAACCGAAATAATATTTCCCATAAGAATTAATGTAAATACAATTAATCTGTTCCAGACAAAAATATTCACAAAAAATAATTTTTTTAACAAGTATATAAATATTACATACTTTTACTGAAGGCTAATGCTGGCTTCTGGAAGATAGGTAGGAGGAAAGAAGGAGGAGTTAGTGTTTGGAAGGGAAATTCCCCTCCATAAAGACTATAGGTAGCAAAGCCTTCTCTGGGGTTATTTCCCTTCTTTGTCTTTTAATGCCACTAGGACCAGACTGAGAGTCACTGGACCCCTGTCTCACAAAATAACTGAAGTGGGAGAGGTTTTGCAGATATGGCTTGTTTAAGCTTTATCAGGGGAGTAATTCTCGACAAAACTTTGCACATCATTCCACTTTGCACAAATGTTCTTAACCCTTTGACTGTTTTGGTCATACATGTATATATACGTCTTATGAGCCAATGTGTTTGACATATATATGTACTCAAAAATTCTAGTGGCTTCAAATCAAGCAGGAGAAAGCTGGTAGGCCCACATGTGAGAGAATGGGTCTGTGTGGTTGTGTGCGCAGTATAAAAAAAATCCTGAAGCACGCAGTGCATAATAAGAAAAAAAAACTCCAACTGTGTTTTTTGAGGTGTATTTTCATATAGTATTTATGTTGTATTCTTGTTTTCTTGCTCTTATTGATAGAATGGAAAACATGTTATAGAAATAGAAGTGATTCTGATTGGTTTTACTATGAAAAGGATCTTGAAATGGAGCGCAAAGTGGTAGAAATGTTTGATTTTTGCTGATGTTCAAGAGTAAACAAATGGCATCATTGTCCAATAAATGTCCAACTAGCCATTCTAATATGCAGTCATGAATGGGTTGTGATTATTTATACAATTATTACAATATTGCAGTAGTCTGCATAACAGTAAATCTCCTATTTTTTTTTTGTGAATAAAAATTCAAAATAGAAAGCAAGAGGATTATAACAGGGGCCAGAAGACATGACTGATGAACAGAGAAAATGTTATTTTAGTGCCAGGAATGTCTGCATTGTTCATTCTGGACCCTATTTTGAAACTGACATATTTTTTAATTTGCATGAAATTGGCCAAATTGCCAATTTTTGACCACTTTATTGGGTAGATGGAATCGGTAAATGGGCAGTTTCTTGTACTCAATCAATAGAACAAATGGAGTTCTAAAGAAATAGCTATGAGTTTGGTGGACTGGAACAATGGAATTGACCGAAAATAGGGTTCAAAGTGGGCGAAATCACAGATGCGTAAATGCTGTTGAGGTCACTAACTTTGCAAGAACATAATTCCATAAGTTTTCCATCAAATTTTGTACTTTTGGTGTCATTACCATCGGGAAAAGTCTCTCTCATTTCATAAGAAAAAATATATTTTTTTTCATATATTCTGCGACACCAGGAGACACCTCAGGATTTTGGGTTGCGGCAGTCAAAGGGTTAATCAATGAAGAAGGCACCTCCTTCACTCCTTCTTCCTCCTCGTCTGAAGCAAGTTCCTCAGCTGCAGTCTGTTGCTGTTCAAATTGAAGCTCTTGCAGTTCTTCAGTGGTTAGCTCTTCTCTTCCCTGTGGTCCTCCACCAACTCTTCCACATTCTCGCCACTCACTTCCAACCCCAGGGACTTCCCCAGTGCCACAATAGAGTCCACGGGGTTGGTAGGGTCAGGGTCAGCCTCAAACCCTTCAAAATCTCTCTCTTGGACACAATCTGGCCACAGTTTTCTCCAAGCAGAGTTCAATGTCCTGGATGTCACTTCTTCCCAAGCCTTACCTATAAGGCTTATACAATGGAGGATAGTGAAGTGATTTCTCCAGAACTCTCTCAGGGTCAACTGAGTGTCCAAGGTCACTTCAAAGAACTTTTGAAACACTGCTTTTATGTAGAGTTTTTTGAAGTTAGAAATTACCTACTGGTCCATGGGCTGGAGGAGAGGAGTGGTGTTAGCAGACACTTTTATAAAACTGAAGTCCCTAAACACTTGGTCTTCCAAGTCTAGAGGATGTGCAGGAGCACTGTCCAGTACCAGGAGGTACTTGAGTGGCAATTTCTTTTCCAGGAGGTATTTTTTCACACTTGGGCCAAACACATCATTAAACCACTCTTTGAAAATTTGCCTTGTGACCCATGCCTTATGATTAGCTTTCCACATCACACAATCTATTCTTTATGGCATTGTTTTTCTTGAACACTGAGATTTTCTGAGTGATACACGAGTAAAGGCTTCACTTTGAAATCCCCACTAGCATTACCACACAACAAAAGAGTAAACCTGTCTTTCATACGCTTGTGTCCTGGCAGTGCCTTTTCCTCCTGGGTAATGTAGGTCCTGTTTGGCATTTTCTTCCAAAACAGGCCTGTTTCGTCACAGGTAAACACTTGTTGGGGTTTGAATCCTTCAGCTTCTATGTACCCCAGGAATTCCTGCACGAATTTTTCAGCCGCACATTTGTCAGAACTTGCAGCCTCACCATGCCTTACAACACTGTGTATGCCACTACACTTCTTAAATCTATCAAACCATCCTTTGCTGGCCCTAAATTCACAAACTGCAGCACTTGTTCCAGGGATTTTCTTTGCAAGATCCTCATGCAACTGCCTTGCCTTCTCACAAATAAAAGACTCCACAACACTGTCTCCCACTAATTCTTTTTCCTTAATTCACAATAATAATAATTTTTCCATTTCTTCCATTATTGGTGACCTTTGTTTAGTTAGAAAAGTTACTCCTTTTGCAACATTAGCATCCTTGATTTGTTCTTTCTTTGCCAGGATGGATGTAATTGTTAATTTATTCTTGCTGTACATCCTGGCAAGTTCCACCACCTTCATACCACTCTCAAACTTTTCTATCACTTCACACTTAAATTCCATGGTGTTTCTCACTTTCTTTACCACAGGAACTTTCTTTGGAATCATGGTTACTTATTTCACAGTTGCACTGCAAAAATAACACAAACTACACATGAGCAGAATCTTCCTCAGCCACCGAGAGAGACAGCCAAACTGACGCGTAAGCAGCCCCAGACGGCAGATGGACATGTCCCAAATGGCCAATCACCGAATTAACGGCCGATAACCGGCGCTGAAAAACCGGCTGATCACTGAGTTGGCCGATAACAGAACCGGTCAATAACCGGGGTCCACTGTATATATTATCATGTAACTCTCTCTCCTCCACTCCAATGAGTACATGTTCAAGACTTGAAGGCATTTCCAGTAATTTAAGTGCTTTACTGGCTCAATGAGAGCCATAAATGATCTCTGTATTTGTTCCAGCTCTGATATTTCTCCTGCTTTGAACGGGGCCATCAGCACTGAGCAATATTCTAAATGAGGGAGCACTAGCGATTTGAAGTGTCACCATTGGCAATGCATTCCTCAAAAATAAATATTCTGCATTGCATTTAACATATCTAACCCTAGCTAAAAAAAATTAACCACTTAATAAAAATGACGTAAACATAAATGTGAGTTTTAAAAGAATGATTTGGCATGGACAGTGTTTGGGAATTACATTGATGAGTGTTCAGGTAGGGAAAACAGGAATAGCAGTTGAAGTCTCTACTCACAACCAGCTTAGTTGAATAAGTCTTGGTTATACTCAAAGCCAAATAATCATGACTTGAGTATATTATATACTGTATTAGAAACTGTAAGCCTCATGAAACACACTGGTAAGATAGAATTCTTAACCCTTCAGCATTCCCATGTCTCATTAGGGGCTCATAAGTGGAAAGGTTCCAGAGCCCAAACTGGACACACAAAATTGTTGAATTTGCCTCTAACCAATAGGGAAACTCACTGTCATCCTCAGGTAACTAATCAGATAGTTTTAACTCCTACCAAAATAGTGAGGAGATAAGATGTGAAACTGTGTAGTCCCAAATACAATAACAAGATTAATAATTACTAACCAAGTATATGGGATATATCATCAGCTTTCTCAGCAGACAGGAACTTGACAGCTAATTCTCCAGCTTTGCTCCATGCCTTTTCCAGCATTGCTGCATCACTAGTCATGGCTGGGGTCACCTGAATCATATAATATTTAACATGTTCCATTCTTTACATGTACTTAAGGAGTTTTTATGTGCATGCTATAGTTTGTCTGTTACAATGCTAAACATCAGTAAAAGCTAAATAAAATATTTATGCATACCATTCTACTAAAATAATGGAGCGGCATTAAAAATCAAATACTGTCTAACCTTCATGTAACAGTCGACAGCTCGAGCATATTCTCCAGATTCTTCCCACTGGCGTGCCTGGTTCATAAGAGTTTGTGCATCTTGTGAGCCTCGGCTCAGAACTGTTCGATCATATTCATCCTGAAGTGCACTAAGCTTATGTGGAAGATATTCTTTGCACACTCTCAATGCCTCGGTCCATTGGTTACTATCCTGTAAAGAATTTTTTAAAATTTGTCTCAAATGGTAAGGTTGGTGAACAAATTTAGGAGGGTATGTAAAGGAAGTTGAAAAGTGAACATAGGAAAGACAAGGTGATAAGGTTAACAAACGAGTTAGGTAATGAAATATCGTATATCAGATTGGAGGGAGCGAGTATGAAGGAAGTGAACACGTTCAGATATTTGGGAGTGGATTTGCTGGCAGACAGGCACATGAAAGACAAGGTGAACCATAGAACTGATGAAGGAAAGAAGGTGGATGGGGCATTAAAACATCTGTGGAGACAAAAAGGGGAATGTATGAGAGTACTGTGAGACAAAAAGGGGAATGTATGAGAGTATAGTGGTATCAACACTCTTATATGGGTGTGAAGCCTACTGAGCTAGTGTTTCATATGTCTTAGTAATGTTCACTAGATATTTCCCTTCCTAATCTTGCTAATGTTTTTCAAAACTTCACTCATTTTTTTAACCATACCGTTCATCTCTTACATAGGTAGGGCAACCCAAAAAGGAAAATACATTCACCTTCATTCATTCAATAGCTGTCTTGCCTGGTCATGGACCAGGCTGCAGGGGTGTTAACCCCCAGAAGTTCCTCCAGGTAGACATCACACTTCAAATGACCCTCTAAACTGCAACATCCTCACCCCTCCATCAGATTGAAGGCACTGTATTTTTTAACTTCAGGACTCAAGTCCAGCTAACCTATTTTTCTGAATCCCTTCACAAATTTTACTTTGCTCACTCTCCAACAGCACATCAAGCCTTAAAAATAACTTTCCTTCACTCGCCCTGATCTAACACAGTGTTTAAATTATGTGAAACCCTCATAACAAAATAGGCTGCAAGAGAATACAGTATTCAGTGAGCCTTAACAGCTTAACCCTTCAGGGTCGAGTCCCCGATCCTGAACTTGCTCTCAGGGTCGAAAAATTTAAAAGAAAAAAAAAAACCCACTTTGAGCCTTATTTTTGGCCAATTCCAACATTCCAGTCAACGAAAATCATAGCTATTTCGCTAGAACTCCATTTGTTCTATCGGATGAGTATAAGAAACCTCCCATTTACTGATTTCAACTGCCCAATGAAGTTGTAAAAAATTGGCAATTTGACCAATTTCACACAAATTTCAAAAGATGCAAATTTCAAAATAGGGTCCAGAATAAACAAGACAGACATTCCTGGCACTAAAATAATTTTTTTTCTGTTCATTAGTCACGTCTCCAGGCCCTCTTATATTACTCACGCTTTCCATTTTGAATTTTTATTCTCACAAAAAATAGAAGATTTACTGTTATGCAGACTACTGCATTATTGTAAAAATGGTATAAATAATATCAGCGCACTTGTGAAAGAATATCAGATTCACCAGTTGACGTGTATTGGATGCGTGGCATGATTTGTTTACTCTTGAACATCGGCAAAAATTGAACATTTCCACTACTTTGAGCTCAATTTCAAGGCACTTTTCATCTTGAAACCAATCAAAATCATCTTTATTTCTGTAATATATCTTCCATTCTATCAAATGAGACCAAGAAAACGAGAATGCAACCATAAATACCATACGAAAATGCACTGAAAATTTGCTGTTTTAAACAAAAAACATGGTTGGAGTTTTTTTTTCTTATTATGCACTGCGTGCCACAGGATTTTTTTTATACTGCACACAGTGACCACGCAGACCCATTCTTTCATATGTAGGCCTGCCAGCTTTCTTGTGCTCAATTTGAAGGCGCTAGAATTTATGCGTACAAGTACAGCACCAATCCTGGCTCTCAAGCCATACAAGTACAGCACCGACCCTAAAAGGGTTAATCAAGCATCCACAAGTGTACAGTGTGATATACTTGTGTTGCTTTGTGCATTTCCATGCCTTCTATGGTAATGTGTTTACTCAGGCTGTAATTCTGCAACTGTTATACATGCTGATGACATAATAAATAGTGAGAAAGTGTGTGTAAGAAAGACATGTGGTGGATAGTCCATGAGTGCACATGATTTTCAGAGGCTGTCATAACACCAGCCAGCTGACTGTCCCAACACATCAGAATATTCATATTCCTAGAATCCCCATGACTTGACAGATAAAATCAAATAGCGCTTATCCTTTATCTGAAAGTCTAACAAAGCAAGGTAAAACATATAGGCAAGTCTCCTTACAGTTATTGCTGCAGGGTGGCAGTGTGGCACCCAAACACTCCCTCTTCCACTGTATCTGAATTATGATGTAGTCTCTGGCTTTGGCCTCTAATGTACCAGAGCGCATGATATTGCTGAATCCTTTCTCACTCATCCACTAAACATGACATTAACAGCTCCTCACACATAGACTGCATTAAACTAAGAAATTTTTATACTAATTCCCATTGCTTAATTGTATACTGCACCTACAAACACACGAAGTGGAATATATCACTATCATATACATTTACCAATTTGAAGTCATATTCTATCCTGGAACTCCCAATCTTTGAGGGACACTTTATGCTTTTTGAATGCCTGTGTTGAAAACCTTTGCCAGTAATGCTTATGTGTGTGTTTAATTTTCATAAATGTGATGCACCATACACTTCCATTGAAAAATAATACTGGAATGAATATGATGAATTTTAATATAACAAGTGCCTTTAAGAAACACATACTAAAGTAGTGACAAAACAGATGGGAAAAATATGAAACTACACTAATGAAAGGCACAGATAAGGGAAACAAAGCCATGAGGAAAATAGTATTTACCATACAAGTGATGAGGAGGAGCACCCACTGTAATGACACTGAAATCTGAGTATAACCAGAAAACAGATCATTAATCAGGAAAGGGATTCTTTGTTTTACCTTTCTTATCTATGTGTTTTCATGGTATACCAGGTTCCTAATTCTATACAGCCTCTCCTCACTTTGAGACGTACTCGTTTACCGATGGCTTGGATTTATGATGGGAGCTCTGACCAGTATGCATACCTATATAATGTATATTAGAGCTGATTTCCTCTATTCTGTTTATTACAATATATAGTACACTACTGTTATTACACAGTGTGCTGCAGTAAAAATATTTTATAAAAAATAATCCCTAGTTTTCCAGGATTTGTACTGAAACTGGAAAACTATGGAGCATTTTTTAAAAAATATTTTTACTGCAGCACACTGCGTAATAACTGCATCAACATTTAAAAATACAGCAGACCGTCGTTCAACACGGCTTTGTCTGGCACATTTTGGTTATAGCACAAATGAAGAATTGTGACATATTTTTGTCCCCCGCAAGCATCAGCCACCCCTGCCACCCTCCCAGCCTTCAGTTCGGTTCACACGTGTTGGACGAACCTGTGCCAGTAGCTCACTGTGTTTGTTTAGTTACGTATTAATTGCCATATCTTAAATCTGCCAAGCTATCATGGCACCCAGCAGGCATACAAGTGTTGCTGAGAGTTGCAAGAAAAGGTTTAAGCATTTAAGTCTTAGAATTAACAAAGAAAATAGAGATATTAGACAAGAGATAGCCTGTAGCCGGAATGAAGCGTCATTTTGTACACAAAAAGAATGAGGTAAATATGAGATTGTGTGATGACTGACTGAATGACTTGACTGACTTACTGAATGACCTGGCTGAATTATGCACACACCAGTACATCCATCGACTTCAGTACCTCTATCATCCGCCTCAGCCCAGTAGGGCCACAGCATAACTTTCCACTCTCTTCACAATCATCCACAAACACCAGCACCCACAATTTAAGGTAAGAAATACTATTATATTTCTGTTGCATTTGTAATCTTATGCAGTAAAAACAACATAATACATCACGACAACGAACTACAATTACATATTCACTTTTATTTTTGTACGATCTGTTGGTCTAAAAAAAAGTTTTGCTTTTTGGGGGCTCCCTGGAACATAACCCTATTTTTTCCATAAATTCTTCAGCTTGTCAAACACAGTTTTGCCAAACACAGCATTTTCAGGAACGTAACTACCGTGTTAAACGACGGTCTACTGTACCAAAAATGTTATAAATGGTGCAAAGGTGACATTAAAACAACATCATAGATGGCTGACACAAACCCACTACCATTATAGTATGCCCCTTGCTCAGCAACGATTCGTTTACTGGTAAGGTCTTAGGAACCGAACTCCGTCATTAAGTGAGGAGAGGCTGTATTTATTTACTTACCCTGTAGAATTTGACTGCCAGCTCTGGCCTCTGAGCCCGTAGAAGAAGTGCTTCTGCACGTGGATAGTCCCTGTCAGTGAAGGCTACCTTGGCCTGCCCCACCAGCACATCTCCAACAGAATCTGGATCATGAGCCTCAGCCACTCTTTGTGCACTCTCCCAGTCCTGTGCATGGACATACCTGAAGGAAGAAGCAGCAGCTGATAACTATGAAAATACCTAATATCGATATGTTTTTTTCCAGTATGTTAGCCGTCTCCCACCGAGGCATGTTACCCAAAAAAGAAATATTTTCACCATCATTCACACATAATCACTGTCTTTGCAGAGGCACACATATAGGCCAACTCAGATGTCACTCTAAAGTGTAGGCACGGTACTTCCCACCTCCAGGACTCAACTCCAGCTAACCAGTTTCCTTGACTCCCATCACAAAATATTACCCTGGTCACACTCCAACACCTCATCAAGTCCCAAAAACCCTTCGTCTCTACTCACTCCTATCTAACATACTCACATATGCCTGCTAATATGGATAAGTTAGTACAGTGGAACCCCGAGTTTCAGCCGTAATCCATTCCAGGAGCTAGGCCTAAACTTGAAATGGCCTAAAGTCGAAGCAATATTTCCCATAAGAAATAATGTAATTACAATTATGTAATCTGTTCCAGACCCACAAAAATATTCACAAAAAATACATTTTTTAAAGATTAACTATGTATAGTTTAACATACATATAGTACTTAAATGAGTAATACAATACATAAATAAACATTTAAAATCATATTTACATATCTTTATTGAAGAGTCTTGCTGGCATCTGGAAGATAGGGAGGAGGAGAGAGGAAGGTCTTATTGTTTGTAAAGGGAAATCCCCTCCTTTAAAGACTTTAGGTAACAAGTCCTTATCTGGGGTTACTTCCCCTCTTTGTCTTTTAATGCCACTAGGACCAGCTTGAGAGTCACTGGACCCGTCACACAAAATAACTTTCAAGAGTGCTCTGTTTCTGGCGTATCTTTAAGATTTGCCTAAAATGGGACATTGTTTTGTTGTAGATGGCTTGTTTCAGCTTGCTCAGGGTGGTATTTTTCCATAAAACTTTGCAACTTATTCCACACATGTCCTTAATTTATTTATTTATTTTTTATTTGGTCATGATACATAGTTGTACAAAGAAATATAGTGATTGGGTGTACATGCCAAAAGCCCCTTGTATGCAGAGCATTATGGGCAGGTTTAAAATTAACTTAAGATTAACTAAGCAATGATATATTCAGTGGTAAAAATTACAGTAAACAAATTAGAACATGAAGTACAAATGAGTATTTCAAATAAGAAGCATTAAAGTTGTACAAATCTGTAGCATAACAATGTATAATATAATCGAATCATATCGAGTAAAATCAATGATTTGTAGTGCAGAAACAGGTCATAAGGTCATTAGATGAGTTACTGCACATTCAAGAGAATGGAGTATTCTGTTAGGTAATGTAATTAAAAAAAAAAAATAGTTTGATACAGGTTATACATTTATGAGATTCAGATATTCAGTATTTATTTAGTTGTGGTTGAGTAAGTGGTTTTTAAGAAGAGTCTTGAATTGATAAACAGACAGTATTTCTTTTATATTCACAGGTAATGAATTCCAGATTTTTAAGCCTTTTATGTGAATTGAGTTTTTACATAGTGTGAGATGGACATGGGGAACATCAAAGAGTGATCTGTGCCTTGTGTTATGGTCATGTGTTCTGTTGAAGTTGGTAAGGAGAAGTTTGAGGGGAGGGTTAATATCACTGAAGAAGGCACCTCCTTCACTCCCTCTTCCTCCTCCTCTGAAGCAAGTTTCTCATGGTGGCTTATTTCACAGTCACAATCAATAAACAAGCATTAAACACAATGAATTTATTGTGAAATGTTTGGATGAGCATGCAGGGTAATGTTCATTCAAGGATAAACAAAGCTAGACTGGCTCATGGCGCCTGCCACACAGGCGCAGGCAGGCGGGCAGGTCTGGTATGCCGGCTGAAATACGGGGCACAGGCTGAAACTCGGGACAAAATTTAGCCAAAAAAAACAGTCGAAACTCGAAGCAGCTGATTCTCAGGGTTCCACTGTATTACATCAAAACAAGAAGCCTTAAATATATATGAATCTTACAGCTTCAAATAACTAATAATAATGCATATTTATATTCTCTTTTTTGTTCCTCACTACAATGGAGTGAGGAGGTTGTCTTAACTGGCTCCATATTTCTACTTTATGTAGGAGCATCTTAATTAATGTTACTAAAGCGCCATATAATATTTTTTTTTAACATGTCAGCCTTTTCCCACCAAGGCAGGGTGATCCAAAAAGAAAAAAAAAAAAAGAAAAGAAAAAACTTTCATCATTCAACACTTTCACCATCACTCATACATAATCATTGTCTTTGCATAGGCACTCAGATACGACAGCTTAGACATCCCTCCAAACTGCCAATATCCCAAACCTCTCTGTTAAAGTGCAGGCACTGTACTTCCCATTTCCAGGACTCAGTCCAGCTAACTGGTTTCCCCTGAATCCCTTCACAAAGTATTACCCTGCTCACACTCCAATAGCTTGTCAGGTCCCAAAAACTATTTGTCTCCATTCACTCTTATCTAACACATTCACGCACACTTGCTGGAATAATATATTATCTAAATGACATAAGCACAGATCAAGAAAAAGGTAAATCCCACTTGGACGAAACATAAAACACTGAGTAGAAATGATCTGCATATTTTGGCATTAATCAGAGACTTTTTTTAGCAGGTAAACTGAAGATGGCCTCAAATTGAGGCTAAAATAAGCATATCCTTTCTACACCTTTTGTAATATTTTGTCAATATGGGAATTATTAGTTTATAACATGGTATTAATGGGGTTATATTTTAGTGTCTGCACTCTGAAAGAGGGGTGTTAATGTTGCAGTTTTATAAACTGTAGTATAAAGCACCCCTCTGGCAAGACAGTGATGGAATGAATGATGACGAAAGTTTTTCTTTTTTTGGGCCACCCTGCCTTGGTGGGTATTGGCCGATGTGTTAATAAAAAATAAAATAAAATATTTTAGCTCCATTCCCCAATGACTGACCCACCATAAAAAATACACATGTTCAAATTTCTACTAAAATTCAGTGTATACGTATCTTTGCTGAGGAAGGGTTGTTGAAGTGGTCTGGACATTTAGAATTTAAGAGAGGATGGAGCAAAATAGAATAACTTGGAGGCTATATAAATCTGTAGTGGAGAGAAGGCAGGGTAGGGGTTGTCCTAGGAAAAGATGGAGGGAGGGGGTAAAGGTTTTGTGAGTGAAGGGCTTGGATATCCACCAGGTGTGTGTGTGTGTGTGTGTGTGTTAGGAGTGGAGGCAAATAGTTTCTGAGACTTGACAAACTGTTGGAGTGTGAGCAGGGTCCCATTTTGTGAAGGGATTCAGGGAAACCAGTTAGCCAAACTTGAATCATGGAGGTTGGAAACACAGTGCCTGCACTCTGCAGGAAGAGTGAGGATATCTGAAGTTTGGAGGGGTATCTAAACTGCAGTGTCTGTGCACCTCTGGCAAGACAATGATGGAATGAATGATCGTAAAAGTGTTTCTTTTTTGGGTCACCCTACCTTGGCGGGAGACAACCAGTGTGTTAAAAAAAATGTTTACTTTTTAAGATAACCCATGCAAGATTTTCTATAAATACAAAATATTTCAATAAACATATCTTTTGTATAAATGTGTACAAAAGCAGAGTAATTCTGAATACTTACATCAGTACAGCTTCCTTAGGTTTGCCAGCTTGAATAAACTCTGATTCTGCTTCTGAATACTTGCCATCATCCTCCAATGCCATGGCATATTTATAATGAATGTCTGGTACTTTAGGTTTCATGGCTATACGGGCCAGCTCGAAGGCAAATTCAAACTGTTTAGGAATAAAAAAGAAAAAGAAATATTTTATAATGGATTTCAAAGAAAAGCCCTGGATTAAAGAGTGAACAAAAGCACAATACTCTGGCTATACTCAGAACAAGCTACCTGATCAGCACTGGAAATAACAAGTAAAGAAACAGATAAAATTAAATTAATCTTAAATACTAACAACAAATTATTAAAAACTTAATAAGTAAGACACTAGTTAAAAACTAGAGCAGGATTTATGAATAATTTAAAAAGAAATGACGTATATATTGCATAACTTTAAAACTACCTAATGTGTAGCATACATGGGTAGAATTATTTATTGAATTAAATATTTATAAATATACATGACATACAAATGCCCACATTATGATGATTGGCTCATATGACATAATAGTGACAAAATAACTGTTTTAAGGCCAATCTGCAGTTACAATTAGACTGCATTCATGGGGGAGTGCCAAACCCATACAGTTCATATAGCACCTGGGGGAAGGGAGGCATTCAGGTTTGATCTAAGGAAGGGGAGCACAGGTCCAATTCCTTAGATAAAGAACCTCCCAGTAATGAACACCTGTTTGTATGAAACACAATTATACTTTGCACTACCATTTTCTATAAGTTCAGTTACAAACAACTTGATTTTAACTGGAAACACTAGGAATGCAACTTGCACATAAGACGGGGCTCCCCAGTATGGGAATAGTATAAACATTGTTCTTTATATCAAGAGACATAATTGTTAGGTCAAATTACCTCTAATGCTTTTTGATCTATAGTACATGAACTTACATTATATGAAGGCTTTAACATTTTTTGTGCAGGTTTTAAATTCTTCAAATAAGCTTATCTACATTCGTTAATCTTCTGCTTATATGGAGTTGCTTTGCTACAGTCTTCAAAAAGATTTTAAGAATTGAGTACAGTATTTGCATTTAAGATCCTGTAGATGTAGAATAAAGTTATATAAGCAAAGTATTTAAAGAGGAGTGATTGGTGGAATGATGAAGTAAAGGGTGTGATAAAAGAGAAACAGGTAGCTTATGAGAGGCTGTTACAAAGCAGAAGTGTTATAAGAAGAGCAGAGTATATGGAGAGTAAAAGAAAGGTGAAGAGAGTGGTGAGAGAGTGCAATAGGAGAGCAGATGATAGAGTGGGAGAGGCACTGTCAAGAAATTTTGATGAAAATAAGAAAAAAATTTGAGTGAGATAAACAAGTTAAGAAAGCCTAGGGAACAAATGGATTCATCAGTTAAAAGCAGAGTAGGGGAGTTAGTAGATGGGGAGCTGGAGGTACTGGGTAGATGGCGGGAACATTTTGAGGAACTTTTAAATGTCGATGAAGAAAGGGAGGCGGTAATTTCATGCACTGGTCAGTGAGGTATAACATCTTTAAGGAATGAAGAAGAGCAGGATGTGAGTGTAGGGGAGGTGTGTGAGGCATTACAAAGAACGAAAAGGGGTAAAGCAGCTGGAACTGATGGGATCATGACAGAAATGTTAAAAACAGGGGGGGGGGGGATATAGTGTTGGAGTGGTTGGAATTTTTGTTTAATAAATGTATGAAAGAGGGGAAGGTACCTAGGGATTGGCAAAGAGCTTGTATAGTTCCTTTATATAAAGGGCAGGGGAACAAAAGAGATTGCAAAAAATTATATGGGAATAAGTTTACTGAGTATACCAGGAAAAGTGTACGGTAGGGTAAGACAGAGAGTAGGATTTCAGATGAGCAAGGAGGCTTTAGAGTGGGTAGGGGATGTGTAGATGAAGTGTTTACATTGAAGCATAAATGAGAACAGTATTTAGATAAAGGTAGGAAGATTTTCATTGCATTTCTGGATTTAGAAAAGGCATATGATAGAGTGGATAAGGGAGCAATGTGGCAGATGTTGCAAGTGTATGGAATAGGTAGTAAGCTACTAAATGCTGTAAAGAGTTTTTATGAGGATAGTGAGGCTCAGGTTTGGGTGTGTAGGAGAGAGGGAGATTACTTCCCGGTAAAATTCGGTCTTAGACAGGGATATGTAATGTCACCATGGTTGTTTAATATATTTATAGATGGGGTTGTAAAAGAAGTAAATGCTAGGGTGTTGGGGAGAGGGGTGGGATTAAATTATGGGGAATCAAATACAAAATGGGAGTTGACACAGTTACTTTTTGCTGATGATACTGTGCTTATGGGAGATTCTAAAGAAAAGTTGCAAAGGTTAGTGGACGAGTTTGGGAGAGTGTGTAAAGGTAGAAATTTGAAAGTGAACAAGTGAGCATAGATAAGAGTAAGGTTATGAGGGTATCAAATGATTTAGATAAAGAAAAATTGTATATCACATTGGAGAGAGGGAATATGGAAGAAGTGAATGTTTTCATATATGTATTTGGGAGTTGACGTGTCAGCGGATGGGTATATGAAGGATGAGGGTAACCATAGAACTGATGAAGGAAAAAATGTGAGTGGTGCGTTGACATATACATGCATGTGGATACAAAAAACGTTACCTATGGAGGCAAAGAAGGGAATGTATGAAAGTATAGTGGTACCAACTCTCTTATATGGGTGTGAAGCTTGAGTTGTAAATGGTGCAACAAGGAGGCAGTTGAAGGCAGTGGATATGTCCTGTCCAAGGGCAATGTTAGGTGTAAATATTATGCAGAAAGTTCGGAGTGTGGAAATTAGAAGGTGTGGAGTTAATAAAAGTATTAGTCAGAGGGCTGAAGAGGGGTTGTTGAGGTGGTTTGGTTATTTAGAGAATGGATCAAAATAGAATGACAGGGAGAGCATATAAATCTGTAGGGGAAGGAAGGTGGGGTAGGGGTCGTCCTCAAAAAGGTTGGAGTGAGGGAGTAAAGGAGGTTTTGTGAGTGAGAGGCTTGGACTTCCAGCAAGCATGTGTGAGCGTATTGGATAGGAGTGAATGGAGACTAATGGATTTTTGGGACCTGACAAGCCGTTGGAGTGTGAGCAGGGTAATATTTAGTGAAGAGATTCAGGGAAATTGGTTATTTTTATATAGCCAGACTTGAGTACTGGAAATGGGAAGTACAATGCCTGCACTTTAAAGGAGGGGTTTGGGATATTGGCAGTTTGGAGGGATATGTTATACGTATATCTTTATATATGCTTCTAAACTGTCGTATCTGGGCGCCTCTGCAAAAACAGTGATTATGTATGAGCGAGGTGAAAGTGTTGAATGATGATGAACGCATTTTCTTTTCGGGGATTTTGTTTCTTTTTGGGTCACCCTGCCTCGGTGGGAGACAGCCGACTTATTAAAAAAAAAAAAAAAAAGGAAAGTATTATATAGTATGGGGCAATACTTTGGTTTAAGAGCAATCTTCTGTTTTACATATTATGATTATACTGAATGAAGTACCCAAGAAGAGTGCACTTAAAACAAAATGTTTACTTTAAATAACTGAAAGCAGCAAGGGTAGCCATGCAAAAATGCCTTTTTTTTTGTTTCAACATGAGAGCCATCTCCCACTGATGAAGGGTGACTCAAAAAAGAAACACTTTCACCATCATTCAACACTTTTACCATCATTCAACACTTTCACCACCATTCACACATAATCACTGCCTTTGCAAAGGTGCCCAGATATGACAGTTTAGATTGTGCTCCAAACAGCCAATATCCCAAACTCCTCCTTTAAAGTGCAGGCACTGTACTTCCCACCTCCAGGACTCAAGTTCAGTAACTGGTTTCCCTGAATCCCTTCACAAAATATTACCCTACTCACACTCCAATAGCTTATCTCCATTCACTCCTATTTAACACACAGTATTAATAATGTGGTTGAACCTGACAGCCACATAAGCAGAGATTTGTACTATAAAGTAAGATGGGAGAACCACAATACACTATTACTCGATTTTGACTGCATTTTCATGTTTAACTTTAGTATGAGCACAAAAATAAAGAAAATAACTACCAATCAATATGATTTTCTGCATGATTCAGTAATTTGTGTATTTTCCTAATGTTTTGCAGACAGATGTTACAGTCACAATACAAGGCATAAGGCGCTCTTCAACGTCCTTCGTGTCAGTCTCACACTATGCACATAAAGGGGCTGAAGATCAGGAACTCACTACTGTAACTAGTAAGGGATCACCTGACTACTTATAAATTTAGGACTTTGCTAAAACATCATCTTATCTCTCAATACTAACCAAAGCAACTGCTAATTAGTTATTTTATGTGACCACTAGACTTTTAAACTTCTGCCAATCCATGAAATATTACTGCCTGAACCATTATTTGTAATATTGTTTTTATGTGCAACTTCAAAATTATTTTTATAAACCTCCACCTTGACTACCTTGCATTAGTATTAACCCCTTCAGGGTCGGCAGGCCCTCTCCTAAACTTGTTCTTAGGGTCAGAAATTTTTCGGCAAAAAAAAAAAAAAAAAAAAAAAAAAAAAAAAAAAAAAAAAAAAAAAAAAAAAAAAAAAAAAAAAAAAAAAAAAAAAAAAAAAAATGAAATGATAGAGAATCTTTTCCCGATCATAATGACACCAAAAGTATGAAATTTGATGGAAAACTTATGGAATTGTGCTCTTGCGAAGTTAGTTGTCTCGACAATGTTTAAGCATTGGTGATTTTGCCCACTTTGAGCCCTATTTTCGGCCAAATCCACTGTACCAGTTGACAAAAATCATAACTATTTTGCTAGAACTCCATTTTTTTCTATCAAATGAGTACAAGAAACCACCCATTTACCGATTTCAACTATCCAATAAAGTGGTCCGAAACTGGCAATTTTGCCAATTTCACACAAATTTCAAAAGATGACAATTTCCAAATAGGGTCCAGAATAAACAAGACAGACATTCCTGGCACTAAAATAACATTTCCTCTGTTCATCAGTCACGTCTCCAGGCCTCTGTTACATTTCTTTTGCTTTCCACTTTGAATTTCTATTCTCACAAAAAGTAGAAGATTTACTGTTATGCAGACTACTGCATTAGTGTAGAAATGGTATAAATAATATCAGCACACTT